GTGAGGAGGTTTTGCCAAATGGCTGCTCCTGCACTGAAAAAGCATGAGCTGGTTTTGGCGATGGAAGTGCTTCAGTAGCAGAATAGAATTAGTGCTTTGTTTTTCGGGCAAAGTCATTTATAAAAGTAAAGGCTACTGTCAATATTTAATACCTAGGTATGAGTCGCTTTATAAATTAAAAAGGAGGTAAAACAATACGTGAACTTTGTGATAAAAGAGGTTCTACTTTTAAATGCATATTGTAAAGCCTCAAATAGGCAATGTGAGCTTACTTACCCCCCTGCATTTTATTATGAAAGGACATATGAAGCACAAATGTTCATCCACTTTGATTATCTAGCAAGACAGACTTCACAGAGCTCCATCTTAGAGTGGAATCTTAACATTGTGTATGCCATAAGAACAGTTCTTAACTTACCAGAAAATTTCATAAAAATTTGACTGGCCAGAAACGTGCTGTAAGCAACAGTGTGTAGTAGTTCTGATACACTGATGTGAGTAATGGCTGTCCTCAAGCGAGTCTTGAATCCCCAAATAATCACAGTTTTTTAAAAGTCAGTGGACTTTCTCAGACTCTAAAGAAATTACGCTCCTGTATATACTCAAAACAATAGTCAATGCTTGGTGAAGGCACAGACTAGGAGAGAAGCAAGCAGAGTGACTGGAAGTCAGAGTCTAAGGCACTGCTTTTGCAATCCTAAAGGCTGCTAGAGCAAAAAGCTGCCAGACAGTCTGAAAAATAAGAGCAAGATTCTGAAAAGAAGTTAAAAGATGCCCCTTCTTGGGTATATATGACACGGCAGTCTCATATATGAAGTTCTGAGATGGGAAACTGCCCCCTGATGCTCGTTACTCATGTGTAAAGAGGACTTCCGGACATATTTTGTAAATAAACAGGATTGCACTAAGATACCTGACTCAGAGCATCCATTTTTAATGATTTATTTTAATGATTTATTTAAATTGTAATTACCTGCATTATCCTGCACTTTGCTTTGTATGTGTTTATTCTGCTGTTAACAAGGCAGACCAGCAAAGTGAAACACTTCATGTTAAGGCACTGTCAGTGGTGTGTGATGCAAAAGCTACATTCTGCTGCTTTCTGGAGGAAGTAAACATACACTCGATGCTCATCTCATCTTTTTGAAAAGCCAAATTAAACTACTTACAAAGAAAATGAAGTGTGGCATCAAGCTTCAGCTCACAATAAAAACGCAGAAGGTATTATTATTTATTGCAAATGCTGGGGAGCAGCCAGGTCAGGAGTCTGATAGGCAGCTGATGTCAGCTAAGCACTGAAGTTTTGTGTGATGTTCTGCACTGTCTCCTCAACTGCTTGTGGGATGAATATAACATATGGCTTCTCTGGAGCAGCCTGTGTGGTGAGCTAGAAGTGTATAATCTTGGAGACATATACTACCTTGGTCCAGCTTGGCTCTTGGGAGTCAAACTGCCTGACCTCCTTAGAATGCCAGGAATTCTTACGCTCCTTGAGGTCAATAACAATTTCTCTTCTCTGCTCTGCTCTGCTCTCCTAAGTTGTTCTTTTTCCATGTGTACCTTATTTTTCTTGAAGAAGTGCGGAGGCGTGTGGCTTAGACATAGCAGACTTACTGATACTGGAGTGTGGGGATGTCCACTCTAGAGTAGCTCAACCAGGCTGAAATTCTTTGCAAGCACTGTAGTGCTGCATGCCAATAATACCTTACACGTGTCATCAGTTTTCTTTAAACGGGACGTCTTGATAGGGCATTTGTTTCAAGGAAGATCTTTCCGGGGCATGGAGGACTGTGAAAGAGTGCCTCATGACATAAACCATTTATTGCATGTGCTTAGAGGGTTGGTATATTTAAGCAGGGGAATAGGTTTATGATTTGTTTCAAAAGATAGAGTGAGTTCTCTGATGAAATTGTGAAAATATCTAAATGCTTACATCAGAGCATGCTTATGTAGTTGTGAATACCTCTGTCCGTATTGGACAGTGATCAAGATGCATGCTGAGAGTTACCTTTTCTGCCTTACATCTAGCACAGAATAATCTCTATCCTTTAAGATGGACCATAAGTCAAAGCAATTAAGTTAAAAAAAGGTGCTGTCTTTTCTAATGCATGTTTTCTCACATTCAAATAGATCCTGCCCCTTCAAATATTTGTAAAGCTTTAAGCAGACCAATCATCATGGGTCTTGACCGCACGCTACTAAAAATCAGACCATTTCACCATCTGATGATGGACTAACTATTCCAGAATCTAAGTCATCTTATCCTCTGAAATATTTAAGATATCTCAAACAGGAGGCTTTTGAATCTGTCTCTCCCAAATGGAGGTGGTACCTCCCAAAACACAAGACATGTCTTCATCACCTTGTTGTGTATTTGCTGGACCCTTGGTGTGGAGAAGTACTCATTTCACAGACTCGTGGAGCTCCAGTAGTTTAATATAAATGGAAGTGCATCCAGGAGGCTTAATCCCACTAACTGGGGATGTTCCAGTGACAGGTTTATCACTTGGATCAATAGCTCCTTTGCGAAACTTGTTTTGGCATCTTTCATTAGAGGAGGTAGCCTGAGGCATGATGAGCATAAAGCTCTGAGCGCCTTTCTTCAGCTTAACCGAATAGGGTTACTTCTGTTTTCTTACTCTGTTGAGCAGTCTTGGGAATACTTGAACGATGTTAATTTAACCTCATTCAAGATTTGAAAATGATCTATTTCTTCACTTTCCTTACAGGTTAACATCAAGCTTCAAAGTCTTTTTTTTAAATAAATGTCTGTGCTATGCACAGGATCCATCTCTTTTAGTATTCTGATGGTCTGCAAGGACTTTTTCAAAGTCTTTTCTAGGAAAGAAGTAGAGCTTCAGATGAGCCAGAACAGACCTGTGCATATTCCTAAAAACAGATGTGGCATCAGCCCCTGTGTCAATCTCAAGTACACAGAGGTGTCTCAGAACACAGCATTTATAGTCCATTTACTTGGTTTGGCACCGGTTTGTGTTAATGATTAGTTCACCTGCAGGAGACTTGTTCATTGAGCAGCACACATGCAGGCAGTGACACTTCTTATGATGGCCGTGATATATGGCACTATTTAGCAGCATATTCATCACATAGATGCCTAGAGATGGACAGAGAGGCTTAAGCCTATGGCCACACAGGTTCCTCTGATCTCTCCCTGCTTTTGTTTTCAGGGCTTCCTCTGCAGTGCCGTAACTGCTCATGTGCACTGTTTTTTTCCTTCTCACACAATGGCTAGGGGCAATGTGTGGGATTTGGTACGTACATGCAGATTCTACTCTTGGTAATGCAGGTAAAAGTGAAGCAGTTTCTGAGAAGGCAGGAAAAACCTCGCACCATCCAATATTATTGTAACCTATACTCCACTACTCACTGGTGTCACTGAATTATTAGGCACACTTCTCCTACTGAGGGTGACATCCTGCAAGGGCCTTAGTTGGTTGGCAGTGCACCAAAGGAACAACTATATGAAATTATAAAGGAAAAAAAAGTTGAGCATGTTCTTTAGCATGTGTTTCTGATATGAGAGTAAAACTGTTTCTGAAACTGGAATATGTGACTGGTGAGCAGTGCTATCTTTGTCCACTTGTTTGTGTAACTGGCTTTTGCAGTGTAATATTTTTCATTTCCTCTCTATAGCAACATTCTAGAGTTATGGATAGGGCAGACAATATACAAATAGAGAGTACAGAGATATAAACTCTATAAAGAACTTAAAATTCAAGCCATTTGTGTGTAAAGTCCAAGAGGTAAGACTACATAGTTTTCTCTGACAGGCAGAGCCATGTGAATGTTGTTTGCTGAAAAGAACTGAAATATTGTGCTGAGTTTTTTGGTCACACAAAAAATATGCAGTATATTTTCAGTCAAGAAACTGAATGATGAAATTTTTTGTATTTGCATTTTACCTGTAGAGACACAGAACTAGACTGCTCACAAGCAATAACTACTACAAATCTTTCCCTTTGAAATCTCAAGAACACATGGGTAATTCTTGTCTTTAAAATGCAAACACTAATAAATAATGAATAATTTTGATAATAATGATCTAATTTATCCATTTAAGGAAATCCATTATAAAGGTAAACAATAGTGCAATTCAACATTTATGAAGTCCTTGTTTTCTCTTCCTATGGAATTTATTTAACAGATATCACTAGAACCATCCATTATTTATCTTCTTTTAAAATTTAATGAATACGGATATGAAAATTGTTAAAAATTGAAATACAGAAAATGTCTCATTATCTCATTGATGAATCTGGCCTGTGAGTTCAAATCCACAAGTGAAAATGAGTTTGCTGGTCTCAGCTACAGAATATTTGTCTATTGCATAGTTTGAAGAATTAATTCTTCACAGCTAGCAGAGAGACATCTTAAATAAATAATGTACTCCAAAGTCAAGACTATGAAATGTACTAATTGCGAGAAGAAAATTAGGTTAGAAAAGGAGTCAACTTGAACCTTTGCCTTAATTCCATTCAAAATGAATTAAAATTGAACTGAAAGAAGTGAGGCACTTTATCTATACATTTCTGCGTGCTTCTATGTTTCATGGCTTATGTGGACTTGATGAGGCAGTATAAAAATAGCTTTAAAAAAATCCCCAACAGCCCTTATTTCTGATATAGTCAGAATTGGGACTTTGTCTTTTGTTAAAGAGAAAACTTAGTAGCTTGCTCTTCTAAGATTTGCTGGTAGATTTCAAGAACAAAAAAATTCAGATACTCTTTGGAGAAGTAATCACACAACAGGTTTGCTTTTCAAGCCAAACTTTGACAGAATTTTGTGAGGACGCTCACTGCAGATAAATCTTGAATAATCTTTGGCTGGTCGGTGCACCATTTCAAGACAAATTTAAGCTCTAGTGTTCCAGTAACTCTTTCCAAAATATGTTAGGAGAGAAACTAATAAAAAAAATGAGAGTAAATTTTTACCTCTGTCAGGATTGGACCTGGTGACAGGATATTCTTTTCCTGGAAGAGACTTGCAGTTTTCCAGGATCTATGGCAATCTGCATTATTAGGGGAAGATTCAATTTTTCATAAATGTTCTGTATGGGTAGTCTCACAACTTTGGATGGTCTCAGTCACAGGAGGGAAATGAAGCATAGGAAGTTGTGAGAAGCTCCAATCACTGCATCTGAGAATGAAGATGACTATGGAATAGATGACTATAGAATAATTAAAATTACTCTAATAAGAAAGTACTGAAAAATAAAAGGCACCGTACAACTTACAGATCTTACCAGGAAACCATCTATCAGGAGACTACTAAAGAGGTATCATTTTTGGGAGTTTGCCAATGGGATCTGATGATATGCCAAAACAGGTGCCTTAACATAAGGAGAAAGGATAAAAGCTCAACACTTCAGTAGTTTTCATCACTGGAAGTAGAGCAACAAGATTCCACACCTAAGAGAGGGAACTATCCTTCTTCCCCCTTGACGGGGGGAAAGAATTGAAAGTTGAACTCTGTACATATTGTAATCAATATGAAATCAGACCAGAGGAACATTCACCCCAAACCACTGTCTTTGGAAGAGCTGTTATCGGGGTGCTAAACAAATAATTTTAGGGCTCGCAGTTATTGAGCTTACCTCTGAAAATGCTACAAAATATTACCCAGCAAGTTCGTTCTTTCTTGTGATTGTACTATTCAACTCCCCAGTTTGCAACAGAGTATTACTTCAGGCACACCGCTGAAAAGCTATGGCTTGCCCAGACTGCCAGGTGGCTGAGTTGCAAGGCTCGGTCTGTGTCCTGGTCTTCCAGCCTGGATCAGCACTCCACAACTCGCTCTGCTCTGCACGTCCAAGTTTCTGTCCCTTGGAAACCTGAATATATGAGTAGATGGTGGCTGCATGGAGTATGGTGCACACCTGAATCCTTTCACAACACCTTGCTGGTACGCAGCCGGGTAGTGCTACCAGAACTGGGAGGCACTTTTGGCTCCCCGCAGTGTAGATTGATCCTGCGGGTCTCAGTTTCCAGAATTATGATAAAATTTTCTGACCTGTTTGCTATGATACTTTCACAAACACTTATGAGGCTCACATATACTACAGAAATAGGTCTTAAAAGTAGACAAAAGGCAGAGACAAAAGGCAGATTTATATGTTGCTCATCAAAGAAAACGTTGAAAACTTTTTGACTTCTTTATAGTATTTTTTTTCTTTCTTGTACAAGAAAAATTTTTAGCAGAGTGAATTAGAAAAAAAATCTTAGCTGTAGGAATCTGAAATGATTTGGCAATGATTTGTTTAACTGCAGAATAGGCCCACACGGTCTAAGATAATTGGCTATCCACTGAGTATCCAGTCCACTAAAGCCAAGTAATTCACATAATGAGGTAAGTACACTAGGACAAAGCCAGGCTAGAACTTGCACTACAGAAGCCTCTATGCTCCTTCCACCCCTATGTTGGATGGAACACTTGTCAATACACAACTGTGTCCATGAAAAAAGTATATTACAGCTCTTTTAGTGAATTAAGATTACAGATTTTGATTAATTCACCAGCCTCTGTGCTTTGCTTTTTCTAACAAGCACAAGGTAGGTGACTGTCTACTACAATCATCATTACAAGGCTAGAATAATGGTGGCATATATCTTTGGTCTCTACCCAAATACTGCATGTTTTGGTATCAAGACTCCTTAATTAAAAGGATATTCAGTGACAAGCACCCTAACAGCACGTCACATTAAACTGAATTATAATAACCAAACACTTTAGTGTATTTCTGCCAGTTCCAGTAACTTTATAATTGCATCCACATTCTGACATGCCTCTGTTGATATCATAAATGCATTGTGGCATCTGATTCTAAAACATACTCCATATTTTGCTAAGTTGAAAACAAAAGGATAGCACGTGGAGAAAATATTGGCTGTAAACGCAGAGTAAATATTTCCAGTAAAGTATCACTACACAATAAAACACGCACATCTATAATATGCCATGCAAATACTATGCCCACAAGATGAGATTTGAACATGCAAGAGAACTGTGCCAATGGTTCCTACCCAACTTCATGTCTGCATATCACAAACCAACAATTTACAGCCTCCTCCCCATCCAGCTTACAGTCCTTTGCCAAAAGTCAAATCTGGTGCCTGCAGGCCTGTTCTTTCTTTTCCTTCGACACCGTATGCCCTTATCCCGGTCTCTTATTGAGCTGCCTTTGGCCCATTGGAGACACCTCAGCTCTGGCTATCGAAGCTGCTGTTGTCCTGTGTTTCAGCAGCAACCCTGCTGTCCTGGCAGTTTTCCTTGGCATGGGGCATTGCCTGCAGTGCTCCAGAACTCTGTGCAGGTGTACCAGCTGCATGACAGCAAAAGCGCAGGATAGCAGGGGGCCTGGTTTCTCAGAAATTTCTAAGAAACATGCCCAAGCACCAGGAGAGAGAGGCAGCATATTCAACCTTCCTTCTGACATTTTTTCCTGGCTTCTGCAGGCGTTATTTTTTGCCTGCCGTCAGCTGGTTTACTTTATGTATGGCTCTGTTTCTTTTAAATCAACAATTTGTTGGACAACTAATGGTGGCATTTGCAGCTCAAGAGGAAAACAGCAGAGATAGGCCAGAGGTGGGGGGAAAAAAAGAAGAAACACTGTCAGTAAGGCCACAGAAAATTACTGGTAAGTGGTGTCTAGATTTGACCTGCGGATCAGGTATACAGAGCACTTTTTCTTAGAGGAAGGAATGACAGCTACTTGCCAAAACCTCTGTCAGTCGTAAGTCTCTTAGGTTGGTTATAAAAGCCCTACTGCAAAGAAAGATCTCTCATCTTTTTCTCAGAACAGTCTGAAACAGAAATGGCAGCTAGCAAGAACACCTCTTCAGTTTTTACTGCTAGCTGGATCAGCCTCATAAATGCCTAAACTCATATATAAAAATGTTAATGCTTTCCAATCGCTATTCTGAATTTATATTTATTGCAATACAACATATCCATTAGCACATCTATCACTGGTAAATTTGTTACTGCTTCAAATATACAGTACATAACATTGCAGCAATTTCATTTTACAAGCTAATAATGTACTGTAATACAGCTTACGATATCATGTAGATGTATTTGATTAGGGAGGTTCAACAGTCAGTCAGGTTGAATAGTGGATTATATGCAAATCAATTTTTTAACTTATTTACTGTACAAATGAACAGCTTTGGTGCACAAAAAATGTGTTAATTTAACAGGTGTATCATTTCATTTTCTCAAATGCTCACTGAAAAGGAACAAACACTAGGCAATCTATTTTGACTCAAATTGAAGTACAGCAGATTTGCAATGTTTTTTGACACTTGGCATGTTTATTCTTTAAGAGAGTCATAATCACATTTAATTGTTTTCTAAATTTATGTAACTATGTATTCCATTACAGTATCTTCCTAAGTGCAGGAGATGTGACTAAAACATGTTTTCCTTGAATATAATAAAATAATAGTGATAGACCTTTCTCAGACAAACTAAAGCTTCAAAAACGTACTTCCCAGGAGATGATTTTTGGAACAGTTTTACACTGTTTGTTAACAGAAGAGTGTCATTCTTCCTACGTGGTGTCACCAAAACTTTTAGCTGTGCGTTATGCAGTGAGGCAACGTGCACTGTGCCTTCTGTAAGGGTCAAGGTAAGGCCAGGTTGTTCTCACAGAACCACTCTTTCTGTACCTCTGTGGGGTGGGAGCATGAGACCTCCTTGAATGAAAGGCAGGAGCAGGTAGGGCAGTAGCCTTCAATTAATCTTTGGTTTCCTATTCCACCATGCGCTCTTTGGGTGATTTTCAACTTTCAAGATTTTCAGGGCACTATTTTAAGAAAGGTGCCTACCAGGATTCGGAAAGTGTCTCAGCACCTACGCGTGTCTAGAAGAATTTGTAAATACTCAAAGGGGCTTATTTCCACCCTCTGGAATGTAAATATCTTAAACGAACAAACAAAACAAAACAGTCACATATTTCTTTTTACCTTGGTTTCCTATATGTGAAAAAGGGAAAAGAGTGCACACCTGCTCTATAGGCATCTTACAAGGAAAGAGGCAGTTAAGTGTGTCATGGCATTCAGAAAGCATCTGTAATGCTGCTGCATTTCCAACTACTCTCTCATACCCTTTTCTTCAGATTGGCCATGCTATTTACTTGATGTTACATGTTTGGACTTCATTCTGGCATGTACCATCTGACTCTATGGGTGAAGAAGCTCAAGTGAGGAGGAGGGCTGGTGATCATTTGGGTCCTGCATGCAGTACCGACGCAACCAGAGGAGAAGCTTCAGACGGGCCCTGAAACCTCTCCTGAGTGACCGTGACTCTGGTCAAATCTGACCAAATCTGACCAAAGATTTCGATTTGGTCACGAAATCTGGACCAAAGATTTCAGTAGGTTCCTGGTTATTGCCACCCATGTCAAAATAGAGATATTATCAAGGATAACAGTAATGTGGACCATTATAAGAATCAAAGACTGCCTTGTGATAGGTGAGTCAGCAATGTCTGCTGTTGTTACTAATTCACACCAGCGGTAACCTTATTTGAAACAGCTCTTTTGTGCACAAAATCATGGGAAATCCATTCACAAGAATATATCTGAAGGACTGCATACAGGCACTGCTTTTTAAATCATGTCTAAAGAAATTATCTTTAGAATGCATATTTATATTAAGTTTTACTGCTTAGTTAACCATACTCAATTAAGCAATCAGAAGTTATTAGGCTAAATTAATCATTGGTAAAACTTCACACTCAGCATTACGTTTGTACACCCTTAAAAAGAATGAAGAAGCATTTTAGCTCCCTAATCCGCTCCTGCTCCTTGCAGTACATTCCAACTGAGAAATGGGACACAACAGGAAATAGTTTACAATTTTTTTGTGTGAAAGGGGACTATAACTGTCACTTCTGTTTAGCTTATAGTTTCCCGAGTTTTGCCAGTCTTTAGTCAATTCAGATAGGATAGCTTTTAATTTAGTTCTTGTCATTCACAAACTACCCACACGAGTATTGAGGCAGGGAAAAATTACATGAATAACTTCTGGAAACACCAACTTCCTAAGGACTGTTATGAGAAGTAATATTACATTATATCTGCAGTCATCTTTGGTATAAAAGATCAGCTAAGAGCTAAGGGAAGGAGTCTGACACACAGAGCAGAGTTACTGCAAAAGGAAGGTAACACATACAGTGTTAATGAAGAGAAGTATTTTTTCTTTGCGATAAATTGAAGTGACATGTGAGAGTGGCCCTTAAAAATCCTCCATTTATTCCCCCAGGGCAAAATCTCTTAATGGGCTAGGTCCAATTTCACTAAAGGCAATGGAGATTCTTAATTGGCTTCAGTAGGCTTTGGATCAAGGCCATGGAAGTCATATAGATCAAAATATTTTCAGCTATCTAGCTAGATGGTACGAAGTGGCTGTTGTGATAATGTTTGTGTGAACAGTTCATGTGTAACAGGAGATTGTTTTTATTCTGCTGTTTCACTGGGGGGAAAAAAACACGTTTATTGTTTATTTCTCTGTCCAGACATCTACAGCTTTCTAATGTCATGCAGAGGACACTAATGCAATATATTATGCATGCTATCTACATTCGGTTGATGTCATTGGCTTTCACCTCATCTCATTTGTCTATTGAATCTGGAAGGTGGTTGAGGGGTGATGAGAAAGGAAATACCCTAAATCTGTCAGAATTACTTAGACATGTTGATGTTCTGAAAAAACAAGTATTCATTGCTGTGCGTTGCTTTTCCAAGGTAAATTTGTAAACTGGCACATATTAGATTCTTTGATTACATTGATCGGCCTTTGTTTTACTCATGTTCCAGATAAGGTATCAATA